CCCCCGCTGAGGGAACGGCGGCGTTTGGGCTGGCTGCAGGGAAGAGGGCTGTGGGGAAACCTGCTTTTATATCGCTTATCCAAGCAAAAATAAACTTGTTCTTTTTTTTTTTCTTCTCCCCATAAGGAAACACTCCTATTAAATTGGTGGTTGACCGTCCCTAGCTGTTCTCTCCGCGTTTTTCTCTAAAGCGGTCGTTTCTGCGGGGCGGCGCGGGTCTCCCCGTGGCTTTTTAAGCTTTCTAAGTTCAGTGTAGTAGTTACTGATCGAGAAGATAACACATCAAGCTGTTGTTTTATACAAAGACTCTCCTGAATTAACTGAATTGGGGAGAGCAGAACTGTTTTATCAGCTTTATTAAATATCAGCTTTATTAAATATCAGCTTTATTAAATATTAAAATTTGTTTTATCTCAGCTTTATTAGAGGGTTTTTTCCCTGCAAATGGGGTCAGCTTCCTAATGTAGAATGAGATGTTAAAGCTGCACGTTAGCTCAAAATAGCATCAAGAGGAGAACGTATTTTGCAGAAACTGCTGCCTCATAAGAGACTAGGTCATTGTTTTTCCCTTTTACTTCATGGCAGGAGCCAAACTAAACTACAGCCCAAACTTAAAGGGCAGGTTGTGCTCATTGTATTTAAATTGTACAGGATTCTTTCAGACTTTTCCCCGATATGCTGCTCTGTTAATATGTTTCTTTCTCTTACCTTATATCACAATCCTTTTAATGCTGTCTTTTAAATACTGCTGTATTGTGTCTGCATCAATCTAGAATTTTTTACGTTGTATCCTGCCCTCCGTTCAAATTGAGTCATTGGGTGACATTCACTGGGAATCCGTGTAATACTTGTTTTCATTGGAATCCAATCTCATAAGTAGTTTGAAGTCAATTTTGGGCTTCATGAAGTTGAACAACATTACAATGCAGTATTGTGAACATACAAAACTCTTCCACTGTGCACCAAAAAGAAGGGTATTATCTGTACAAGCAACAAACTCAGTGTCTTTAGCTTTGGCTGGAGAAGTCCCAGGAGTAGAGAGACATTTTATGCTATTCACGGGCAGAGGGTGCTAATTTAGTTATTTTAATATCACCATTTTAATTAAATTAATTATGAAAACACACAGTTGTTAATTTAAAATGCATACGAAAATGTGTGAAAGCACATGTTTTCCAATAATTAGATCACACTGAAGCTACCAGTATTTCAAATTTAGTGCCAGCATATAAATCATTTGTGTTGGAGAAGGCAAAATTTTTCTTTTTCATTTCCATGAGTTACTGTGTTTTTCTTCTCTGTTGCCACTACCACATAATGTGAAGCAAACACTGTGGTATATTTATATCACAGTGAATGCCATAACTGGCGCATCTCTGATAAGTTTTCCAAAATCTGTCTTTTTTAAAATTTTTTTTTTCCTCATCCACTGAATTTTGGTATTCAACCCGTTAAACAGGTTTACTGTGTTAATGATGCTTTACCCTATTTACCAGAAAGCATTCCTCAGCTAAATAGCAGTAGTGAAGGCATTTCTCATGCCGTTCATCTGCATGAGGTGTTAACTCAGTTATTCTAATGTTAACATTAAGTTCATATTTATTTTAGTTACTTATTTGTTACTTCTTGTAATCAATTTGTATGTTTTTAAATGAAACATGTATTATTATTATTTCAGTCTTTCTGTGCCTGTATGTGTGCTGCAGGAACAATGTAGACACGAACACATTAATTCAGTAAAGGGAAAGAGGAGAGGATATCCTGCACGTTGCTGCTGAGGCAAGGTCTTTCAGTTTTTCTGGGGCTTTGATCTTTAACTAAGCAACCTGAATATTTTATTTGGTATTCTAACCTCTAAGAAGAGCTAGTTTGAGCACCTTTAATAGGGTATTTTTTGGGAATTATCAGTAGGAGCCCATTTTTCCTAAAAGGAAAATTATTTTTCTGGTAGACAGAGGCTTTGGGGTTTCTGTTTCACTGGAATATGTCTAGAAGGTATTTGCTTGGTAACTTCTGTAGTCTCCGCACAGCTTTCCTGTGATTTGTCTTGATCAACTAGTGTGTGGATGGTATCTCTGAAGACATTTTATTCATGCAAAAGAATTGATCTCTTATTAAACCCGTGGTGATTTTCCTCTTTGTCAGTTTCCTTGAGCTCGAAGGGACTTTCTAGTTTATCTAATAATTGTCAGGTTGTGTCTGAGAGCTCATGTACAAGGCAAACTATACCTTGCTGGAAGAATTTTTCTGTTTCTTAGTTAACTCAATTCAGCTGTACTGGAGCTTGTCTTTATTGGCAGATTTTGCTGCTTTTTTTGGTAAACACAGCTTAACTGGTGTGTCCTCCTCTACTCTCTGTCCCTTTTCTCTTTCAGTTGCACTGAATTTACATGACATTGTGAACATTTCCTTTAATCAGAAATCGTTGTAAATATGGGTCCCCGGCGGAAAAATGTGAAACCATGCTCAGTGAACAGGGAAGGCTCTGAGTCTACCAAAGCTGATGAGCCAAAAGATTACATGAACCAACTCTCTCATGAAGTGCTTTGCCACATCTTTAGGTGAGCAGCTTGTCAGAAGTCAATTTATTGTTTATTATTATATTGCTTTCTATTTTTTTTCTCAATCTTATCTGCATTAATGCTTGTGTCATAGTATTCAGAAAGTGTAGATGTACCATGAGTGAACTGGTGGATAAAAACTGGATAAAAAGGGGTGAGAAATGTTTTTTCAGTCCAAGAATTCATTTGGATACTTTGAAAATTAATTTCTGTGAATGTAATGAATGGTAGAAGGAAGAAGAAAGAAATAAGTGATTTAATTCTGTTCACCAGTGTGGTGGTGGTAACAAGTGTTTAAATATTCATTTCAGTGCAGAAGTGTATCTCAGGTGTTACATAGTTGAGGTGCATGTTTTGAAATTGTTGCATCTGCTTCATAGTGTGTGGAAGGGAACTTGGATGAGTGTATAATCTTCCCTACAACACGTCCTTCTCCAAGAAGTTCACTCATGCCTATTATATTCAAAATATAATGTCTTACTGACAAGTTCTTTAAAAACAGTAGCTCTCCAAAATGTTTGCAAATTGAGCATGCTAGTATGTACTAGAAAATGAAAATACCTTTAATTAAACCACGTAGAAACTATTGTGGCAAATGGTTTGGTTAACAGTATTTATTAGAGAACTAAAGCATCTCTCCATTTTAATATTATATTTGTACCTTAAATATCCTATATTCAGTGTCAAAAATTGGTGAGTCATTCTGCTTAGCAAAATTTCACACTTTATTAGACTACGGTCTGAAAGTTGTGTTTGAATTAATGTGTTAGGTGTTAGAAATACATGAATTTGTGTAGTCATGCTTGGGATGTTCTTTAGTTTGGAAAAAGTCAAAAAGGATCCACCTTTGATAAATCAGAGGAGTGTTTTTTCCTCTCCCAAAGGTACCTTCCCTTGCAGGATATCATGTGCATGGAATGCCTGTCCAGGAAGCTGAAGGAAGCAGTCACTCTTTATCTGCGAGTAGTGAAGGTTGTGGATCTATGTGCAGGCCGTTGGTGGGAATACATGCCCACTGGTGAGTAATGCACTCACTCAAAATATGGCGTTTAAGTGGTATTGAGCAAAACTGTCTGTGCTATCCTGGTATTTATAATGACATAAGCAGGGTAAATTTTCAAAAGCAGTAAAAGGAGTTAGATGTTTAATTCCTTTTGACTTTTGTGAGATTTGGGTGGCTTCCTCGACTACGTGGTTTGGAAAATTTATCTGTGTCTGTGTTTGTATGTGTATATATATATATTGGATATTATTGTAGCAGAAACGGGGATTCTCTGTAGCAATCTGTAAATACAATCTGTGTTTGTCTGATTATTGTAAGGGAGTTAATCCAGGGGTTAATCCAAGAAGAGGCTGTTTGCATGCAGGCAGGAAAATATACAATGGAATGAGAGAGCAACTCATCTGCCAACACTTAACAATGTAAGAATAAATAAGTTTTGATGTCACACCTCAAGCCATCTTCAGATCAATAGATAAATTTGGCAACCTAGGTCAACCCTGTGAGTATTAGGATTTCTGTTGGATTTAAATTACACTGCTGGGATTTGTTGGGGGAGAGAGCTAGAATGAGTGAATTCTAAAAGTTAGAGGATCTGCAAAGTTAAATTGATTAGGGCTGATATCAGGTAGATGGTAGGTAGGCCTAACCTAAGATAGATGTAAACACAGGTAACTTACTAGTTTAAAATCCTTTTTATGTGTTGTCTTATGTTAGAATAAAATAATCCTTTGCTTTAAGAAACTGTCTTATTTCTTTGAGAATTGTGAACTGCGGTGAATAGTGATGAACTGCATATAAACTGATCCAGCTGGGCATTTTTGAGCCTTGTAGTTGATAAATGGAATTCAGGAAAGAAAAGCCTGACGGTCTGCAGAGGTGCTTCATCTGAGAAGGGAGAAAGTATAGTTAACCCTGTAGCCATGCAACTCCACTGAAGGAAACCTGTAGCAAGCCTGCAAAATTCAAGGCAGAAGAGTATGTAGGTCATGATTTCTAGAGTCTGGAAGGAGAAGAGAAGCTATTGCTTCACTGAGTACATCTTTCAACATTGTAGAATTTATACTACCATGTAAAGAGAACAATGTATTTGGCTTTCCCTTTACAACTAGGTGTCTGCTGTCACACAAATACCAAATCTGTTGTTGTCATCTTAGGTTTCACTGATTCCAGTTTCCTAACGCTGCTGAGGAAGATGCCAGACATTGAACAACTTTATGGTCTTCATCCCAGGTATCTTGAAAGACGCAGAGTCCGTGGCCATGAAGCTTTCAGCATTCCTGGCGTTTTAGAGGCTTTGCAGGCTTGTCCAAATCTGCTGGTGAGTGGTTAGACTCGAGAAAGAACCTCCTTCAGCAGCTGAGATGATGCATGTTAACAGAGCAGAAGAAGTGTGGCAGGGACTTACTGCTTACAGGGCTTCATCTTCAGACCTGGACTTTGTATTCAGATCTAGCTGTACAGAGTAACAGTTAATTCTGACCATATTTGCAAATGAGTACAACTTTTAGTTGCACCAGGGGGAATCGCAGGTGCTCTTAAGTCCAGAAATGAATTAAAACTCTGATGCCTCTGCTTTTAAAAAGACAAGTCTTGCCACAAATTTAAAGTGAAATAACACATTGCATCATGTATAGTATGTTATTGAGAAGTTAAGAGGATATTATTGCTTGAACTGGTGTTAGAGCATTTGCTTTGCTTCCTTTTACCCAGGGTGTTGAGACCTCTCATTTAGAGCTGGTGGAAGCTATTTGGACATACATGCCGCAAGTTCACATTTTAGGGAAGTTTCGTAATCGTAATGGTGCTTTTCCAATTCCTCCTGAGAACAAGCTGAAAATTCCTATAGGAGCTAAAATTCAGACTTTGCACTTAGTAGGTAAGTGTGGTAATGGTGAAGTAGTTGACTTTAACACCGGTGAATTCAAAGGCTTTGAAACTCTGCAAGATTGTAATTCATTTTAAGAGAGGGAATTAGGCATGTGGCATTTTTGAAATATTAGTTGCTGTATATATGATAGCAGGTCCAAAGGGCAAATTCTAAAAAACTGTGTTGACAAACTGAGGTGAAGAACTTGTGTTTAAAATGTTTACAGCTTTTTCTCACATGCCACATAGCAAAGGAAAGACTTCCTTTTTAAAGCCAGAATGTTAATCCAAAGAAATTTATCCTAGAGTTTATATTTTAAAGCTTGTTTAAAATGTTTGTTTTGTTTATGTATTATTAGGGGTGAATGTCCCTGAGATTCCTTGTATCCCAATGCTGAGGCACCTTTATCTGAAGTGGGTGAGACTCACCAAACCACAGCCTTTTAAAGATTTCCTTTGTATCAGCTTACGCACTTTTGTCATGAGAAACTGTGCCGGTAAGAGGGATTCATATATGGGGGGGATGTTTTAGCATGTAGGAAATCTAATAAATCTGTTAAAGCTGCATAAGCACCAACTGTAAATGGAAATCTTAGAATACAATATTCTGAAAACAGCTAGTGTTTTATTCATGGTGTTGGATAGAAATGTATCCCCCTCCTGTACATTATTTGGTGCTATGTAGTTCTGTTGACTTCCTGATCTAGATGGATATATGTGGACATTTTATAATTCTTTAACGTGATACATTCAATGTTGTTAAGTGAAGAACCTTCTTTGTCTATATTGGTTTGTTCTATGTAGGACCCACAAATTCTTTGAAGTATGTTCCCTTAGTGACGGGCCTGGCTTCTGCTCGAAATTTGGAGCATTTAGAACTGGTTCGTGTTCCATTTCTTGGAGGACTTATCCAGCATGTGGTAGAAGATAGCTGGAGATCAGGTATGAAACTTCTTATCGCTCATACTTAAAACAAACAAACAAATAAATAAAAATATTAGCAAATACTGGAGGCATGTGAAGTTTAGCTTTTTTGTCTGTAGCATATCCTTTCTTGATTATTATTTTAAAGGTATCAAGTTTGGAACTATGGTTTTGGTGCTAAATATAGCTCTGTAGTGAGTATTGTTTTGATCTTTTATCTGCAATTAACTCTTGACTGATAAGCTAACCTTCCAGTTGCATTTGTTGGTGAGTATAACTAGCAAGATTGGAGGGGACTTGGGTGCAAATATGTGTTTTATTGATTTGCTAAAAAAGATGTGTTTTGTTAATTTACTTGTCAAGACAACACTGGTGGAAATGTGTAAGGCTTAAAGTTGTGATCTGTGACTTAAGTGAAAGAATGTTTTTTATTTGTCAGGTGGTTTTAGGAATTTGCACACTATAGTTCTGGGAGCTTGCAAGAATGCACTTGAAGTGGATCTTGGCTACCTCATCATAACTGCTGCACGAAGGTATGGGCCTTTAGATCTTTCTTTTCCCCTTTCTCCTTTTTCAAAATAAGTATCTGAGTGATGAAGTCCAAGAACATGAAGAAGCAGAACAACCTTCAAAAACTTAAGGAATAAACATTTAAACTTTACATAACAGGAGTATTCTGTGGTTAAAATAACTGGAGTTGTGTCTGTTTCTGAATCATTTTGTGTCATAAGCTGCCTTCTTAGACCTATATCTGAAAAGTGTGGTGCTGTTAGTCTCACAACTATATAGCTATGTAACTGCCAAATATTGCCATAAAGATACAACAAATATCCTCTTAATCCTGCCATTGTTGAAAGAATATTTTCATTTTATTACAAGAGGGCATCTTCTTGAGTGGTTTCTATGGCAATTGTGTTTTGGCATGCCTTTTAATAGGAACAATTCTTAATTGCATTCAGGTTGCATGAAGTGCGGATCCAGCCTTCCTTGACCAAAGATGGTGTTTTTTCTGCTTTGAAGATGGCTGAACTGGAATTTCCACAGTTTGAAACTCTTCATCTAGGATATGTTGATGAGTTTTTACTACAGTGTATGACATTTTTTATATACATAAATTACTTGGCAAATATAAGGATTAAATAAGTTTGTGTTTTCAATCATTTTCTAAGAGTGATTAAGAATAATATTAACATACCAGATTGAGGCTGCTGATGTCACACAGCCAAAAATGTTTTTCTTCATTTCCTGAAACTCTTACTGAAATTGGGAAAGTCTCAGCTTTATTGAACTGAAGTAATAATCTCATCCATTTTGTCAAACTGGACTAAACTAGGGAGTTAGAAAATCATGCTATAAAAGGCAAGTTTCTGAAATTTACTGGTGTGTTTGCTACTATCTTTTTCATAGGTAAAATGACGAATGGAGACTTGGTGAAGTACGGCTTGGCTGATGTAGTTGAAAATCCAGGAATTATTACAGATATTGGTATGAAAGCTGTAAATGAAGTTTTTTCTTGCATCAAGTATCTGGTCATTTACAACTGCCCACATCTACATAACCCAAATAATTGGATCACAGGTATTGCACACCTTTGAAATTTTAGAGTTATTATATGAATTGCTGTGATATTAAAACAGAATTTTTCTGCTCATAATACTGCTTGTTCTATTTCTTAGTAAGTACAGTAGATGATGCTTGGTTTGGAACCATAATGATGCTGGTAACAGTCAGAATGGAGATACGGAAGATGCCTACTCTCAAATCTGAAAAGGGTGTAATGAAAAATAAGTGATATAGGAATCCTTCAGGAAATGCATCTCTTCTCTTCTGCAGATCATTCAAGGTGGACCCGACTGGTTGACCTCACCCTGGTGCGATGCCATGCGATAAAGCTAGATTCTTTTAGTCAGTTCATTGAGTTATTGCCAAGCTTAGAATTTATTTCTCTGGACCAGATGTTTCGTGAACCTCCTAAGGTGAGTCTTTCAAGGAATGGTTTTGCTTTTTATTGTTACCAGTTCATTGGAAATATGGTGAGCTCCAGCTGTTACGCATTCTTTTAAAAGTTGTAATTAATTAAATAGCTTGGTAAATAAATGACTTTGGTTTGCAGTTGCTATTACCATGATATATTAGGGAGAATGATGCTTCTTCTGCAGATGGGAGCAGTGGCAAGGTATGATCTTGTATGAATATGTGACCAGGAAATAAGACTCGCATTGATTCTGTGTTTCTGTTGAGGTCCCCGCTGCTACTTCATTTTGCTGCTGCCTTTTATATGATTTTTTTCACTCTTGGGGATCTGTTTAGAATGATCAGGGGTTTTTATGATTTTTGTAGTGGGTGAAATGGGGGTACTGTTCCCCTGTTGGAGTGCTTTCAAAGCTTAGGAATTTCATTTCTTCATGTTGTCCCCTCTCCCACACTGTAACACAAATCTTTGTAACAGCTGTTGTAACGTAATGAAAACTGCCTACGTAAAAAAGTGCTTCTTTGATCATTAATTCTATCTTGAGGCTACTGTGTTCTGGGAAGACTATATAATCTGCTATTTGTATTGACGTAATATGATCTCAAAGTAAATGAAATACAATTTAATAAAGTAAGATTACATGCTTTGTGGAGTTCCCTTTCATTAGGAGTTTAACAGAGTGTAAGTTGTCCGGGTTGCCAAACTTAAGATGGACCTCTGCAACGTGTAGCGTAAGGAAGTATTAGGGACAATTTCCCTGTTCTTCACGTGCATGTTTTTCTGCTGTCCTGGATACTACTGACAAAATGCTTCTTCTGTTGGCATTAGGATATGTTGTCAAGATAATGTGTCCGTGTTTTCAAATCTTAATAGCTGCTCTTTGTTTTCAGGGTTGTGCTCGTGTCGGCCTAAGTGCCGGCACAGGAATTGGTGTCTCATCTGCCCTAGTCAGCAATCAGAACTCCAACAATGACAATGACAACAACAATAACCACCAGAATAACAATAATCCGAACATCCACCACAACAATCACCAACACCCAAATGACCAGAATGAGGAGAATGAGCTGCGACAAGATGGTCAAGCTGAAGAGCAGCAGATTGCAGCTGAGGGTAATCTCTGATCTTTGTGAACCTTTGTAGGGAGTGATTTTATTTGCATTGCCACATACATAGGGTCCTAGAGAAGATATGAATATACATTGAAAGCTTGTTGTTCTTTCAGTTCCTGGTATGTAACTTTAATCTTTTCTGAGGGCTGTCTGCACATCTCTGATACCTGTGTGATAAAAGCTGTCTTTGTGTTGTATCAATAACTGTTACAGGCACATTACAATTCAATGATACGTGTCGGTACAGATGTTAGCAATTTCAATGTGTTTTCAATTTCATAGAGTTTCAATGTGATACTCAACTGTGGAAGTGTGAAGTGTTTTCTACGTTCCTTTGGTCAGAGTTGGGAGCACATCACAGTGTCAGATGGTATATTTTCAAACTTTCCCAGCAAAGGCAGAAGTCATTGGAGGGAACAAATATGTAAATCCTGGTTGTGCTGCTCACTGTAGTAGAACAAGACTTTTGAGGAGGAGTGGAAAATTTGGGAGAAGTAAACCCCAAAAGTTGGGCTGGGGCCTTGGCTAAAGAGACATAGAATAAATCTGTGAGAGACTTCATGCAACGTAGAGACTCACTGAAGGAATCAAGGCAGCTATTACTTATTTCTTGAGGATTCTCTGACTCTCTATGGGTGCCAGTTGAATTCCTCCTATGCTTATGGGCTCTGTTCCTTCTGTTTCCTCTTCTTGACCTCATTTTAATTTTTTTCAGCACTGAATGAGATGGAGGAGGTAGCACAGGAAGAAGGAATGGCTGCTGGGCAAGGCCAAAATGAGCTCCCAGCTCACAGCCAGGCTGTTGTTCCTATGGAGGTTGATGAAGAGCAAGCAGGTAACTCTGGTTTTGGAAAGAAATTACCTTTTGATATCCCCTTCTTGAGGGGTTAAATTTTTCAGTATAAGTCTGTTTTGGGATGGTTTTCTTCAGCTGGGTTGTCTGATGTGTTTGGAATAATGATGCTAGCACGGCTTACTGCTGTGAAGAAATTTATTCTGTTTTACAGTCCCCGGTTTTCTTTTGCTTATGGAGTAAAATATCTTAATCTTAAAGCCTTCTTTTTGTGCCCAGTATAATAAAAGACTGAGAAGGCCTGAATGAGCTTGTCATGTTCCAGTGTTGGTGTTAATGGCCTTACTACTTTCACTGCAGCATGTGGATTCTTTTTTGCTTTTTTTTTTCAAGCCAGAACAACTTGTTCCAGTGTTAATTTAATTTGTATTAGTGACATCGTTAGTGACATAAGGCAGTCTTGATTTCTTTCATAGCCACTATTTGCTGGACAACATAGTTTTCTACTAAATACGCCAACAACATGAAGTAACATACACGTATGCTGGATCTGTTCACTTTTTCAAGATAACTCCTGAAAATGTTATTTAACTTCATTTCTTGTGTTATTGACAGGCAGATAAGTTATTGTGATTGGCTAATGGCTTCTGTTAGTAGCTTAGAGAGGTAACTTTTAAAGCACATTTATACTGAAGCTTGATCATTCAAGCTTCTCCTTTCCACTTCTATTGGTGGGATTTAGAAGGATAATTGCAGATGTTCTGACTGACATTTCTGTCTTTGTGGTGGAGGTTTCAGGGACTGATTATAATACATAGTTGTGCAGTTACTATTGTGGAAGAACATTTAAACTGTTCTGAAGCAGAGAAACATTATAGAAAACCTGTGTTTTGTCTTACATTGTGACGCTCACTTCCAAACTAGAATGCTTTAATGCTGAAATGCAGTGTTTTGCTCTTCTCGTATTTGGATTTTAATGAGGGAGCCCCAGAATGGTGGCTAAATTGAACCAAATTAACCTCCTGTCATTTTTTCAAGCAGTTCCAAAAGTTCTTCAGCCCTTTAATCCATGCTTATTTTTACATGAACTGTTGGCATTCTTCTACTGTTTTCAGGACCAAGTGGCATTCAGCCTGTTGTGAAAGCAGCACCTATTACTGTCCATGATTCAGACAGTGAGGATGAGGAAGAAAACATGGGGACTTCAAGAGCCTGCATCTCTAACAGCATTGCACAGAATTACTCAGATGGAGAAGAGAAAAGCAGAGATCCAGTGGAAACTAGAGAACCTTCAGGTGTGGAATAGATGGGTTCCTGGGCACTGTTAAGCAAAATTTATTCTTAAGTTTCAGTCTTTCCATCTTGTTCAGTTTTATTTCTAGCTTTGTAAAAGGCATGCTCATTTGTTTGCCCCCTACTCTTTACTTCCTGTTAAAAATCTAGAATGGAGGTGTAAGGACACATCTCTCTGAGCTCCAATCACATAGTCACTGTACAGAAACACAGAAATAGCGGTGCTGCACTGCTTTGCACGCAGAAACCTGCAGCTCCTCTTTTCGATTTGCAAGTGCACAGAACTTACCACGTCTGTGAAGCCAAATTTGCAACTCTGTTGTCTATATGATTCATCTGTCAAAGCATTGCTGCTGAAACAAAATGTGACCATTGGGGCAAATGCGTGAGAGTCGTAGCTGTCTTTTGGTTCATGGGGGCCCTGTGGGAGTGTCCTGAAGGGGACACTTTAAGATCAACTTTACTTTGATGGGAGCTTTGGAGGTTAGTTAGAATTCTCAGGGTGATGTTTAGTACTGTCTTCTTCACTTCTGAGCAACACTTAGTATTATAGCCTGTGTGTATGTGTATGTATATTAGTAGTAGTAGTAGTAGTGTATATATATATGTATTATTATGACTCATTCAGAGTCAGAAACCTAGAACCTCATGGTAGTATGACAATTATAGAGAGACATAGAAAAGGACATTTCCTGTCTTTTGAGTTTACAGCTATAAGCTACACATCTGTGGCTCCGAGTCCTGGGTCCAATGCCATATGACATACGGCCTTTCAGCAAAAGAGATGATGTGCTATTTCTAAGTGTTTGTATTCTAAGTGAAGTAGTTTCATATGTACACAAGAAAGAAGGAAGTTGAAGTTGAATTGTAGCCTATAAGTAATTGACAGATGAAGTACATAGGGTATTAAGCCTTAATGAATGTTTGGCTAAGCAGTTAATATAAAAATCCTGCATTGTGAAGGCCTGTACATTGTGAAGTACATTGAGAAATGTACTGGTCTAGTACTGGTTTAATTTCTGCAAAGCCTAGGACGTACCAAAGCTGTAATGGATCAAGTGTCTTCCTATTGTAACTAGCATACTCCCTACACATCAGCCTCCCCTGTCATTTTAGTACATTTCAAGAAGGCTGGTAGTTTCAACTTGGAAATCTGTAGAGTGCTGTGCGTATAGTGCAGATGTCAGTTCTGGTCTGAGGGTTGAAATAACCTGCGTTTGGAGACAATTTGCATAAACTTTTGTAGTGCCAATAATGTTTTTTCGGGCTTGGTTTAGTGTAATTAGCTGGGAGGATTAAGACAGTAGACATTAAGTTCCAATTGTGATTTGTACACTATTCGCTATGGTTTTTTATTCATCTGTAAACTGAGACTACTGTTACCTATTGATACAGCTTTCCATACCCAGGAGGGGGAGCTAAGGATTGCTGTTGAAAGCATAAACTTTAGTCCTATCTATGTTACTATTTAATTCCTCAGATTTATTCCTCATATTTAAGAAAACAGAAGCCTATTATCAGTGTGTTTTTCATGTTTTTGTGCTTTGGCCTCTTTAACCAGTTAGCTGCTTTGTGAAAATATTAGCTTCTCTGGCAAATATGTATCTCATTTACTAACAAACACTCCAGCACATCCCTACAAAAATAACTGCAAGACATTTTAGAGATTCAGCAACTGCTAGAAATATTATTAATTCCCATAACACGTAAATAGCAGAATGGTCCTGACAAGATTTGGCCTCTAGGCTGCCTTCTGTTCTAAGTAGTCTCTAACAGAGTAGCACTTAGCATTTATTTAAACTGTGTATGAGGTTGTTTCATTGTTTTCTCTCGTTTAACTCTTCCAGTGAGCGGTAAAGGCAAGACACCACTGCGGAAGAGATGTAGTGCTAGCCAAGTGGGCCAGACAAAGCAGTTCCATACCGAGGAAAGCAGCTGTGAGAAAGGTTGTCAAGTAACAAGTGAGCAGATTAAAGCAGACATGAAAGCAGCAAGTGACATGCCTGAAAGGAACAAAAGCAAAGATTCATACCCAGGTTGCAGTAATGCTACTGGATCAACGGGAACATCCAGCTCCTGCAGTGCTGTTTCTCCTAGCCCTGACTGTGCACAGACAGCTCATAGCCACTCTGCTGGCACCAGTCCAGCAACTGGAGATGAATCCAGGCAGTGTGTCTGCTCGCCTTGTAAAAGTGAAGGTTCCAGTGAGAGGGAGACCGAGGAGAGCTCTGTTTGTTCCAGGTGTTCCTGCTACAAGCCACAGGATGCACAACAGAGGACTAGTGGGTGTTGCGGTGGGGATTGCCCATCCACAAGTGGAGCCTGCAGGAATGGACCGAATAGCGCTGGGTCAGATTTTGCACTTAGGACTCTGCCAAACTGTGGGCCTCCAGGAGAGCCAAGTGATGAGAGGACTAATGGGAGTACCTGTGGGCCTGCCAGGGAGGAGGAGAGCACGGGCTCCCAGCGAAGGAGCTGTGAGATGGAGTATAAAGAAGAGTATCCTCGCCGACCACTAACAAGAGCTAGAAGCAAGCTGTCCCATGTCCCTCTGGTGTCAGAGTCAGGTATGACCTATATGTATGTGTTAATTTCTGAGTAAACTACTGTGCTGGCATGAGATGGTATTGAACGACAGCAACACCCACAGATAATACTGAAGTTAAGCGTGAAGTTATTGTTTAATAATTTAAAACTAGATGGTTTGTCAAAGGGACAGAATATTGATGGAACAAAAATGGCTGACTTTGCTGCCATAGCTAGGTAAAATAACAGATCTCTCTGAAAGACTGCCAGTGACTTTTTTCTCCATGCAAGTATTTCTGTATGTGTTATCCGTACATACTAAACACTGTTTGATTTACTCATTTGAAAACCAAATGCAACTTCTTTTGACAGCTTCTCTCTTCCTGTGAAGGCTGTTATTCATTGAAACATAAGACTGTCTCCCTCATTAAAATTCTCCCTTTAAAAGGAAGAAGACAGCAGGTACGCTCAGATCTTAGCAAGAAGGCAAAAGTTAATAACTGATACTTTATCAGCCAATAAAGAAAGCCATAATTATAATTGAGCCAAGCTTGTGCACCTGCATATTGGATTCTGCTTCCAAGTGTGTAAGGCATGGTGATCAAACTCATTGAAAATTGTCTTTTTATTAAATAGGTTCATGCTTCACATCATGTAAAACAAACAAAACAATAAAATAAAAACAAAGTCCTGAAGGGCTAGAATGAAGCCAGAAATGTTGGGAGAAAAGAATAGATGTGAGAGGGGAACTTGCTGTTTCTTCCAAATATACTTGCTTTCCAAAATAATCATTTTAGTCTGGCATAGCACACTTTTTAATCACCTCATATATCCAGGATTCTTTGCTGAGAATATCTGGCAAGTAAAATGAAACTGAAAAATGAAACATGCTATTTACTGAACTGTATGCATTGGAGGTAGAAAAGATTGATAACAAATTTGTATCTCTGTTAACATGGAGTGATTCAAACACAGTATGTCCTAGTGTCTTTCCAGTTTATCTTAACGTTCCCAAGTGTTAACGAAACCTAAATCATCTAGGATATTGTTCTGTAGCTAGATACATCTCAGATTGAAGAAATGATCTTGCTATTAAATTTAAAATGTCTGTTTTCTACCTTGCTCCATTATAACTAGTAATTAATCTACAAAAATCAAAAGAAAATATTTCCTCTCTGTCCTCATCCATTACCAAAACATGAAGTGAAGTCAGTCAGATCTAAGTATTAAATTAAGGTATCTTTCTGAAAGCATCTCTGTTTTCATGTTTCACTTGTTAGTCAGGAAAAAGATCTGTTCTGCTTGTGGAGAAAAATGTCTCAGTATTTCCTATATTTAGCTTACTAACAGTCAGAACTGTTTTCCCAGCTCCATGCAATTATGTGTGTGTCTTTATGCACTTATTTTCCTCTTTGAAGCATCAGATATTAGCTGATACTTGAGGCAGAATATGAGACTTGATGTGTCATTTTTATCTTTTAAATCTGTATTTAATACATAGGACAGTGAGGCTGCTTCTGCCTGGCTGTTACAGTGCTTTTCTTCACTAGGATAGGATATACAACTCATTAGAGTATAACCTGAAAATGCTTTGTTACAGGGTTGGAAATGTTTTTACATAAATAGTCTAAAAAGGTGCCTTGAATATGACTGCTTTCTATTATTCTAGCATAAATGACATTGTGGTTTTCGGCTTCTGTAACAAACCTATGTTTGACAGTAGAAGTATTTTTTTTCCCCTTAAATTATTTACTTATATTAAACAGTGGAACAAGTCAAATATTAAAGACAGTGAAATTTTAAAAGCATTATCACCACAGACTAGCTGGCTAAAGGACGACTCAAGTGTGTAATTTTGATATTTACTTTAGTAAAAATGTAAGCCACGCTTTTTCTTGTAATAAATGGGGATTTTTAAACGTGTTTTAGTTTGCATTTGTAGTGAAGCAAGCTTTTCACATTTTAAAATGCATGTTATGCTAAACCTTCTGTAAAGATTTCTTGACCTTAGGCTGCACCTTCAATTCAACACAACAATTCAACACAAAATTGGAAAGTTTTTCCTATAATATAGCTAGGAAGTATTTTACTATCTGTAGACACTCTAGGAACTGTCAAAAAAATTCCCTGGGGATGATGATTCATGGGTGCCACAAGTTGAGTTCTTAATATTACATCTCTCAACCTGTGGATCCCCTAAAGCAGTAGCCTGAACTCTGGAACTCATAGGCCCACTGAATGTCATATGTTAATTAATAGTTTACATGTATTGGTGGAATTTGATGCTATTAAGTAGGAAAAGAGGTATTTTTTTAATGTTAATGGCAGAACAGCATGGAGTAGTTCATATATAGTTTCTAATATTTTGCACTTCTATCTTGATTATGAATCTTTGCGAACATGCCATATGTTTTAACAAAAAAGTAAAAGAAAACTTAATTTTAGGAAAATAATTTCTCATTTCGATCTGTTAATCACAGAAAACTGATTGTAGGGCATTTTTGTTCTCTTAGTGTAGGAAGTGTAAGGGTGATCATCTATCGTCATTTCTTTTGAAAGCCTCATCTTTTAAATCAAGCAGGAATTTGATGTCACTGCTGCATGAAATGGAGTAAGCAGCAGCTTGGGAACATCGAAGTATTTTATACCTGGGCATCCTTTGCAATATTAGGAAAAACTTAGTGACAGTTATAAAGAGCAGACTTACAAGTAGTTTGAGATTATTTCTACTGTTTAAAACATTAAAACTATTTTGGTTCTTGTGTTTGTCAAGAATGTTCTGTTTGCTGCAGAGAACCAAATGTAACCTAAAAATTCATCTTCTGTTCTTTTCTTGGCTCTGCATCTTTCTGTGATGTTGAACTTGTAAGGTTCAGCATTCCTGTGTTTTCATCTATAAACAGCATACCCCCCGGCCCAGGTTATTTAGTGTGAATGATTCTGAGCAACAAACCTGAAAGTGGTTTTTGTGCAAGGAAAAGACATATAGTTGTTTTCAAGCCAGACAGGTATTTTGATCTGCTTATGTAAGAAATGTATGTTCTTATTGGATGTTTTCAGTTAGGGAATGCCTCTATTGTTCTCCTGAAATGTAAACAGAGGAAAAATTTTTCTGGTTTTCTGTTTCCAGAGGTGGCCAAGCCAAAGCCACGGCAAACCACAAAGCGGAAAAGAACAGCTGATAAGTCCACAAGTACAAGTGACCCAGTTATTGAAGATGATCATGTTCAAGTAAGGTCTTTTTCCTCACCTGCTATGTATTTATCAGCTGGGGATGCTCATGAACAATGATGGAATTATACAAGCTTGTCTTCTGTGTAGAGCCAGATGAGTTATAACTGATGTTGCTGCTCTTTCTGGTCTTAACCATATCAGGAAATTTCTGTTAGGTGCAGTGTTACACTGACTGGCCTGAGAAGAGCAGCCTGAGAAGAGCGAAGTATAAGCTAAAGCTAAACTTGAAGTTTGTCAGATGCTCATGGCTATAGTGCTGCATGAAGTCCTGCTGTCCCACAGTGTCTTTCTTGATGTGCAGGGAAAAATTTATTCTCTGGCATTTATTTTTGAAACAACCGCATAGGCTACTGCTGTTAAAAGAAACATGGGATATATAGTTATTTCTGGACACAGCAACTCAGCTGTTACTTTGCAGGCTGGAGGTTCTCTTAGTATATAAATAACATGACTTAATTCTTCTGCAGTGAAGATCAGTCATGGAAGGAGAAATCGCAAGGTCTGGCTTACTGTATTGGGGCTGTTTACCCAAGGCTCATATTCTAGCCGAGCATGAGATTGCTTCAGAGGGTGACTCTGACAGCTAACTTAAGCTTCTCTTCTGAGTTCTGCTGTAGAGGAACCTGCCTGTGTTTATTTTCCTCTCTCTGTCCAGTGAAGAACTTAGCCTCACTAATTTAAGATAGCTTTTGTGAATGTGTCCCGTAATATTTTTCTGGTTACTAGGATGCATTACAGCTTTCGTGATCAGCATAAAAGATATTTTTGGGTGCATGATTTTTCTTCTTAAAATATGCCGTTTTGAAAGAACAGTATTGTGATTTTTAATTTTTTTTTTAACTACCTGTTACAAGGAATAGCTTAAATTGCTGGAACTTAAAGAACCCATTGCAGAATGCTTCTTTTTTCTCTTTACGTGTGTTTACTTTGTTTTAATAGAACTCTGTTAGTCTTCATTGTATAATTGGTCAGCTTCATCCTTGAGCTGCTAAATTTTGCTAGAATTTTTAGTGATAAAATTTTGAAAAATTCAGATAAAAAACCAAAAAGATCCTTTCTTATGACACTTTCTTATTACATTCTCCTTGTGCTCATGCTACTGGAAATGATTCTGCTTATCTGTTTCTTGAGCTTTATGCGTGCTTTATTTTTCTAACACTGATAGTGGACATAGAGGATTAAATAAGTTACGTATATAACTTTCAACCCTCCGTGTGAGGTTTTCCTCTGAGATAGCGCTGGTAAAATACATTGGTGTGGGAAGTTCAAACCATGATTCTCTGCCATACCTTCTTTCTGTGTTTAAACAAGAGTTACTGTCTAGAATTGCCATTTTTGTCATCGTGGTTGAAAAATAGAAATTGAATAGTAGAGGGTTTGAAGTTCCTGACAGATGATACTTAGGTTTTCTGATAGAAATTGTGCTTTCTGATATGACTCCTCTTTTAATCTTGTGAAGTCGTACTTCTGCATTTTGTGATGTTGCTGGTCAGCAGGAAAAAAAAGCCATCAGTAGCCTACTCGTCTCAAATACCTGTTGCGAACAGAAGATGTATTATATTGATTACTATCCAGTTAATATCCTTCTGTATTTGGCAGTATCTTTTAAAATTCAGTATATTTAATTTTTTTCTCTGTTTTTACCTGTCATAGATTATTTCTTTTTTTTTTTTTTTTTTTTTTAATTTTTCACCAGGTACTGACTTTGAAATCCAAAAACCTTGTTGGAATCACCTTGACCAATTGTGGAATAACAGATTTGGTACTGAAAGACTGCCCCAAAATGATGTTCATACATGGTATGTAGTTAATGTCATGCGTACCTCCTCCATCTGGCATTATTAGAAATTTCTGAAAAAATTAAAGTCAGTCCACTGCTTATTTTGTATTCATCAGCTGCTTTGCTACAAGTCAGACTGATGCTTAGAACACCAAATATTACTGTTTCTCAATTTGAATGCCTCTTTCCTTATAAGTTGTAAGAGGTATAATAAAGATTAATATCTGAAAATCAACAGATTAAATTATATGACAGTTAGGAAGATGAGATGTTTATTAAAGAGTGATAATACAATAATTGGAAATTGATGAAATGAGTTTCAGAGTACCTTGTTTTTTCTCTCTGTCATGGTTTAACCTGGCAGGCAGCCAAATACCACGCAGCTTTCCACCTCCGATGCTTTCCCACAAGGCGACAGGAGCCATTAGTGAACAGGGCATATTGCTTCTCAGTTCTGGTAGTTTATTATACCGAAACCAGGACACTCTCATTTCTTCCTGCTTCCATAGATTATTTAGCTGACATGATGATACTTTCCTCCTTGACATGATAAAAATCTGTTTTAAATTATGGCACTTAAGCTGCTTTAGATTCACGTGCCAGAGTGTGTGCTTAGTCCTGTATTGAAGCATTGGGTCATTTATTGTTTTCTGCAACATCGACACTAAATAACATGTTTTCTTCTGAAATGAGGTTATCTCTACTTAGCAGAGAATGAAGAAATTATTTCTTTATTTATTCCAGAATACTTCTCAGAAGATATGTTAATTTTTAAGTAAATTTTGATTATATGAGCAGGGTTACTAGAAAGGAAATAACTTACTTTTACATTGTGTGGCTTCACAATACTCTGCATTTGATCTGATTTTCAATTGTGGCATTCCACAGACCATTTCAGGGGGCTTTGTGAAAGGAAACAAAGGGAGAAAAAGGTTATTGTTAGATTAAATTTGACGTGGCCTTTTAAAAGGACTCTTCTTACAAGTGCACAAATTAAAAGTTTGATCATAATGTGGAAGAAATGAACAGCTAGTCTATTTCTTCAATATACTTAAGTTGCCAGCTATCCAAACTACTTCAGTAATTGTCTGTTACTTACATTACTTGTTTGCCTTCTTTTGAAACAGTTGGCTTTGAAAATCTCTGACAGAAGGCTCCTAGGGTCTTCTTAGTATTGTATTTCTTTTCTTTTCTTCTAAAAATTTTGTTTGCTGATTTATAGCTACAAGGTGCCGTGTATTGAAACACTTAAAAGTAGAAAATGCACCAGTTGTCAATCGGTTTGACTATGCCCAGTGCAAGAAGTTAAACATGGATCAGGTTCTGGATCAGATTCTCAGGATGCCACCGGAAAGAAACCGAATCATTTATCTTCGTCCAATGCAGCAGGTACACAACCGACTTTCATTTAATCATGAACAGATCTGAAGTTCTGCTGTATTCTTTCACCACTTTTGGCTTCAAGTGTTTTTCAGTTAATGCAAGAAATGTAAATGTTACAATAACACAATTCTGAGAAGCTTGTTTATTAAAACTTTATCCCATCCGGGCTTTTATTGCAGAATCTGGAACTTAGATGATGCTGAATTTTAAGATTAACGTTACCATCTCCAATATTCATTGCATTAGAAGATACTGTAAAAAATCATGATGCGTTGAATTCCTTCCAAACTGAATAACTAAAAGTAATTGTAACTGTAAGAACCTAGATGCTAAGTCAGATTGTAGTTGTGTATAAGCAGAAGTGTGACATAGGCATAGGTATCTGAAATCTATGTCCTATTAGATCTAGTAACAGCAGTTAGTGTTTTGAATACTACTTTGCTGAAAGCTGCATCCTCTTTTGATGCTAAGCAGTGTTGCAAGACAGTTGTGGTACTGGAAGCAACCCTTTCCTCCCCCAGATTACGTGTAGGAGATGTAAGCACTGACATTTAGTGAGTTGCTGAGGTCATTTGACAAGTAAATAAGAGAGCTTCATTTAAGATCTGGAATGGGTTTTTGACTTTATCTCTCTAACCAGAGCGTTCTGAATTGTACTGTGATTCTGCTTCTCTTATGCAAAGTAATGTTTTTTCTGGCTTGGTTTGCCTGACCAACAAGGGAAGGCTGATTTGATATAAAAGCTGGCTTTTCTTTGAAACCAGATCTCCTGCTTTAGGTCTTAGAGGACAGTGGTAAGACTATTAGGAAAAAAAAAAAAAGGAAGAAAAAACCCCACAAAAAAACCAACCCCTCCCCCCAAGCCAGAGACAAATTCTGAGAAAGTGAATGTAGTTTAGACCATTATGTAATTTTATGAAAGTTTACTTACATATTGGAGTGGCAAAACACATTAGAAAAGAGACATTTCCCATCAAATTCCACTGCTTGAGACGATTCATTGGCAAAGCTGCACTAGGAAAGTTTTAGTTTGCTTAATCATGTATTTGATTATGTATGCTGCTAAAATTTCTTTTCACTGGACGTTTTCCCCCAGAATTTGGGGGGTTGGGTAGATGTCTGCTCTTGACTCTAAAATCACATCTCTCTGTTTCTCTTGGTTACAAGTCTTTGTTCGCTGCCTTTCACAGGTTGACACCTTGACTCTCGAGCAAAAGATATTTAGTGGCCCTTATCCATACCACATTTGCATAATTCATGAATTCAGTAACCCACCTAATGTCCGCAATAAGGTGCGCATTCGGAGCTGGATGGACACAATAGCAAATATCAACCAGTGAGTACTTGCCCTTCAGTTACTTTAGAGAAAAGGTATTCAATCCTGATTCAGCAGCTGCAGCTTCAGTCAAGCTGTAGACTTCTGTTAGCCAAATAAAAAAAAAAAATTGGTTTATTGACTAGTGAAGGTTGAATTCTAGATGGTGCGATGTAGAATTTCAATGTCAAGATGTATCTAATACGAAACGTAGATTAAATAAACCTAATCATATGAAAAATACTGTAGAATTCTCCAGTTCTATTCCATCCAGCAGTACTGCAATTGAACATTGAAGAAGTGAGGATGGCTGAGGAATATCTTCGAATCTGAAAACAAGTTTCTTTTATTAAAAAAGAGAAAGACTGATTTACTCCAAGAAATAAGAAATAATCTTTCTGGGGAAGATGATGTGCAATCAGTACCAGCTCCTTACTGAGGAGCAAAAATTCTCAGCAGCAGGGAATTGTATACAGTGGCTCTCATCCAACTGTTTTAAACCAGTGTTTTTGTTGTCCTGGTTTTTCACTAAAATGCCTAAGAGAACAAATTTACTTCTGAAGTTTTGTTTAGTTGCAGCTATATTGGATTGTTCCTTACAGATAGAAAGCTATGCTTAATTGGTTTATCATCTAAACTGTACAGATTCTCTGTGGTTACTTTAAAAAGCTAAGGGATTGCATACTGAGTTTGTGTGAGGGTCTTGGAGGAGTGTTTCTATGGATTCAGGCTCATTAAAGGAAAGGTTGGGTAATAGGATTTCCCATTTGGTTTTTCTCCCACCCGCCTTCACATTTCCTATCACTCCTGGCTGTAATCTCTTTCTCCTTCTCTCTAGAGAGCTTATTAAATATGAGTTCTTCCCTGAAGCTACACGAACCGATGAAGACCTGAAGAAATACACTAAGTATCCTTGGGGACGAGATATTTACACTCTAGAAGGTGAGCGTTTATAGAGAGATGAAAGCTGATGATCCGTTTTTTGCTAAGATAGGTAACTTTGCATCAAGTTACGAGAGATGTGAATAATAATTCTTGTGAGGGAAGTGGAGGACCTTTGGCACAGGGTGGGGGACTTGAAGTGAGAAGGTGCTTTTCCTGCATAGAGTGGCTGATCTATTAGTATCAGTGAATTTTACTTGATGAAGAGTGCTGATGCTGCAGGAGTGACATTGTCCTCTTTATATCCTCATCCTGTCTGTCTTCTAGGCATTGTGGATGGTGCCCCTTACTCCATGATTACTGACTTCCCATGGTTGAGATCACTGAGAACAGCAGAGCCAAACAGCTATGCTAGATACGACTTTGAGGATGATGAGAGAAGTGAGTAATCTTTTTTGATGTGTTCAAAGAATTTTAACGTGTTGCTTGGTCCCAAGCTGACAATGCATTCCTTTATTTTTCAGTTTTCTAATTCTTACGCTATTTTTGGTAGACTATAACTAATTACTTGTAGCAGTGTTGGGAGCTGGATGAGGAGGGGGTCCAGTAGAGGAGAGGGCCATAGAAGTACAGCAGCGTATTGACCAACTGAAGACCCCTAATACCGACAAAATCAGAGAGGCAATCTGGTGCTTAGCCTAAAAATGTGATGGGTTTGTCATATCCGGAAGAATGAGTGCATTTAAAACACACACAAAACTAATGTTGTGATGTGTAGTCCCAGCAATGCATGTTCTGTGAAATTTACTGGCATTACTGCTGAAAGCTCAGCTGTACTACTGCCTCTGGCTTTGCTTTATGAAAGGTTGTTAAAGTAGGCTGAAGAGGGAACAGCAGAGAGAATTGAGACTCACAGAAACTTGGGAGAAAAGAGGGAAGAACTGGGCTTGAAAACTGGAACAGAGGTGATGTGGCTTAGAGTTTAGGATAGATATGCCTTTTTCTATTTAGGAGCTTGTCTTATAAAATATTATAGTGGGCAGTTCCTAGGGCTCAACTAAGAACCTTGCTTGGTAGTAGGGAAAAATAGGTTCTTACACTTAATTAGGAAAATCTTGGAATCTCCTTCATTAGAGGTATTTTTAATTGACATTGTTTTGGATATTCTTATCTAGCTCCAGTTCAAGGGGATGAAGCTCAAGAGGACGAGGAAGAAATCTTTTTTGGCTATACTTTTCTCTGTTTTTTTTTAATTTTATTTTTTATTTTATTTGAAACTGATTCATAGACATAATGCTTGTAGTTCAGTATGTAGACTGAATTACAAAAAAATTGATATGTATTTGATTTAAAACAGTAATTAGATTAAACATGATGTTGAAGTCATAAAAAATAAAGAAAAGACTGCTGCTTTATCCTTAATTGCTCTTGTTTATAAAACATTTAAGTGATCACTGAAATGGATAACCTGAAAGCATGTCAGATAAGTCTCAGGGGGAAGGCTTTGTTATGTGCTGGGATTCCCTTCACTTGCAGACATACGGACTTTGCGTACAATAAGTATTGGAGCTAGCAAAAGGTTTAAATATGGGGAAGACAGAATACCTTTTCTGCTTGAATAATATTCCTTAAACGTGGTTGCTCAATGGAAGATTTTTCTGTTTGCTTTGTGAATTTCTTTATAAGAAGGAGTCTAGTTTTTATTCTTATGTGCCTTCCACAGCTACTATTTATGCACCGCGAAGGAAGGGACAATTGTCTGCAGACATCTGTATGGAAACAATAGGAGAAGAGATCTCTGAACTGCGCCAGATGAAAAAAGGTGTATTCCAACGTGTGGTGGCTATCTTCATCCATTACTGTGATGTCAACGGTGAACCAGTCGAGGATGATTACATTTGAGTTGGATACCTTCCCTGACCTGTCATCTCTTCCTAAATTCTGATTGGCACTGCTGGCCAAGAAAGCAGATGGATTCTTTCCGAATGCAAAGCATTTTCTTGAAATGCATACTTTGCAGTTGCTCTCACAGTTTGGCAAAGAGTATGTAGTAAATGTATAATGAAAAGTAAAAATTGTATACTAAGATTTGTACATAGAGGAAACAAAAGAAAAACTTCCTAATACTGAGACTTTATTTCATATGTTTATACAATTTAATTTAAATTCCATTTTAATGAAGGCCAATAATTAGGAACAGGGAAGACTATTTGAATTTTTCAGCCCATACAATTCATAGCAGTATTTTTTTTCTTATAAACAAAATCTCATTTGCTGTGTTCAAAAGAGTCATCAGAGTCTCTTTTAATCTGTGCCTTTTTCTCGAGCATTTAAGAGTCCAGTCTGAGTAAACCTGTTGAGCACAATCTTTGTGTCTTGTGTGCATTTTTCAAGGAGAGAGAATTATTCTACAGCTGTTGCAAAGAAGGCCAAAAGCAGGGAAAAAGTAGCAGAGTTGGTGATCTGTGGTAGTTTCTAGAGTTCACTAAAAACATGTTTTGGGAAAGAAAAAACCCCACATTTAGCACCTTGGAAACAGAAGATATGTTCTAAAGTGTTTTGTACCATTAGATTTCATTTTAATAGCGTATTTGACTCTATAACATGAAAAATAAGTTGCTAATTGTTGGTTCCACTCTCTTTGACATAAATCTAACATACTAACCGTCTGAAAGCTGATTTTTCCTTTAAGACAGGCAGGAAAAGGGATGTGTAATTCCTTAGTTGTAGCTGTGTCAGTACAGGATCCATCTGACTCAAAACAGTGAGCTTTCAGGCTGATTCATGCTCACTCATGAATGCAGATTTTCCATACAGTCAGTAAATACTGCTGCTCTTTGCCCCTGAATACTTCTTTTTATTGTATATAGAAAATGCTTCTGGTTCCCACAGTATCCCTAGATGTTTTGTATATATATCCAGAATTTGCTGCAAGTCCAGCATACAGGTATAAAAATGCACAAGTTAGTATTAAACTAGCTGGCTTGCATGCTGTTAGTAATGTGCCCTGTGGGGGTGGGAGACCTCTTAAAGGCTAATTTGCTGTGCTGTGAAACGGTGTCTGCATGCATACACAGCTGTGACTGCACAAACGCACCTTTAGATGTGCCATACGATCAACTATGGCCCGATCTGTCATTCATGCTTTCTGAAGTTGCAGAGTTACCAGCCTAACGTGACAGTTTACTAACTTACTGTGGTAAAAGCTGTAGAGCAGATTAGTTTGTACCATTTTACAATCTTACAAATTATTGTTAATGATTTTAATTCTTTGAACGTTGGTATAAATGTGGCTAATGGGGATTTCTATGATGTGTAGCTCTGTAGAATTGAAGGGGCAAAACTGTTCAACACAGCAAAGCCAGTGTTAGTTTTCTCTACGTCTGTCCCTCTGTGGAAAGTCTTGAGGTAATGTGGAACTAGAAATACATTAGATAAGAGGGAGAGAATGGTGCCTCATGGAAGGAGCAAGAGATTTGGTACAGTAGCATTTTCTCACATGTGCTCTCTCTACTCTAACTGGAGGTGAAGTCCTAAATACCAGATAATGATGTGAATGCTGTTAAATTTGGTTTAATGCAGGACCAAAGTTAATGGTTTAGTTGTAACAAAGATATTTAACCATAGATAACATATTCAGTGATACTCAGACAAAATGTAATTGTGACCCTTCCTAGAAGTGTTTCAAGTAATCTGAGTCATCGATTCAGTCATGTTTATCATTTTAATACAGCATGTACAGGAAAATGTTACTGCGTTTCTGGAGTATTGTACCAGATCTCCATCTGGTATCTCTAACTTTAGCCTTTTGAAGAAGTATTTATACAAATAATGTACTTATTTATATTCAATATTTCTTTCTGTAAGCAATTGAACCTTGCAGTAGTTTTAACCTCTTAAACATTACACCCATTTTACACATAGTGCTAAGGTAGTAACTAAGTTCATTGTGTCCATCTCATGAGAACTCTGGGTGATTGAGATTGTATCTGGGATCTGGCCAGGGAACCTGCTCTCTTCACTAAGTTCAGTATCTGAAACTGAGGAAAGGAGCAACGCAGATGAAAAGAATTGTTTTCCTGCTCAGCCTTCATTAGTAAAAAAAAGAAAATAAAAAAAAAATTATTACTAGTACATGAACGGGTATAGTTTGTGTCAGCAGGAGCTGCTGTACAAACAATAATTTGCTTGCCAGTCCCTGGCTTCAGCGGTGTTCTGCTGGTGGCGAGCACACACACTCAGTGCTGCATCAACTCCCAGGTGAAAACCTGTCCCAGCTGTACGGGCTGAAAATGTCTTGATTTGTCTTCCATTGTGAAGAACAAAAAGTTGCAGTTGTCATTTGGGTTTCTGATTTCTGCTTTGGTGGGTCCTTGAGTCACTGCACTAGGGGATGTGTGTTTACAGTAAAGATTGCTCTGACATCAGCCCAAATTTGCTGACGGGGTGTGCAGTAGTCATGAGTGTTTTCTTTTGCAAGTTGTTTTTGATTTTTTCAACTGAAGAGGGCTAACTACATCAAGCAACTGTCTGCAAGAGCAAGGGAACCGAAACCTGGTAACGAGCGTGAACTCGATTCATATACCCTTCGTTTATGTGCTAGGCTGTCTCTGAGGCTTTCGCACGACACTAAACCTTGTCCTGTGAGGGTTACTTCTCCTTTGCAGACTTGGCCTAACCAGTGTTAGTATTTGAGCTCTCTGATTTGAATTTTTAAGGTCGTTTGCCCGTCAACTCCAGCTGAAATGGTCAGATTGGTTTCGCGCTGCGGCAGGGCCATGCGGCCCGTGGTTGCTTGGCTTGCTCTGGCGACGACC